GAGGCATTGCCTGAAATGCTGTATGTGGATTTGGTATTGTCTGTGCCCTATGGAAAGGAGAAGAACTTCATTAATATACAAATAAGCGCATAGATGGGTATGGAAGGGAGATTTAAGCGGCGTCAAAATAGACCTAAAATAGAATTAAAGGACAGTCGCTCGAAAACTTAATTGTCAGGGAATTGTGTAGCTTTAAAATTATTTAAAAAAAAAACGAGAATTTTTTTTCCTGCGTGTTGTATGAACCAGAGTTTTATAAGGTTTCCCTAAAGTTGAGAAATTAAAAAAAAAAAACTGGAAAATACATTGCCATAAAATTTTTTAAAGCGTAAAAAGAGGTAGGGTATTTTCAGGATATTCTATAATTTTTTTGGTAAGGAGCATTCTGCTGGAAATATGCGAAAAATCATTTTTATTGCTTAAATCGCTTTCTAAGGCACTCAAAAATATACACTGCGACTAGGACAAGTATTGTCAACCTTCTAACTCCTCTGACGTCCTAACCTTTTAAAAAATTCCGTAGATTGATTTTTGAAAGTGAGTGCACATACTTTTTGGCTCCTGGCTTCATAACACTGTTGTTGTAAACATTTTAACCCTCTAACTCTTACCACAACGGGTCTTTTTGAACTTGTTTTAAAGGGGTTTAGTGTTTTATCATTAAAGGTGACAGCTAGACGGTAAAAATGCTCCATAAAAATCTTTAGCAAAAAATTTTACTACGGGTCACCGAAGATAAAATTATCCGACTAAACGTAAATGTTCTATGGGTCCTTATCCCCTATACGGGGTTCTACCATTATTATTGTTAGGAATAAATCACTGCGACCTCAAGATCTTTTGTGCCCCCTTAAAGGATTCATAGTGTGTATATTAATCCACTATCCAAAAGAAACTTTAGTATGGAGCCTAAATCTACGGATTTCACTTCACCCTCCGTTATTAGATGTTCACCCAGGTGTATTTTGCGTTTGTGCAACATTGCAGGACACCCTTCTAGGATGTGCTGTGCAGTCTCGATATCCATCCTGCAAAATTTCCAGTTTAGTCAGCCTGTAATGTCATGTCAGGATTCCCGTAACAATTCTTAAGTTATTCTTGGATAGGCTCATACATTCCTTAAAGTGTTTTAGGTTAAATCGTTACTAGAGACGAATAAAGGCGCGAGCTCAAAAGTTGACGGCGAAGAAGGACGCGTAAACTTATTTTCGCGTTGAACTATATTTGCGGGTGTAACAGTATGTAAATTCCCCAAAGAGATTTGGGGAATGATGCTGAAGTGACCGGCCTTGGCCAAGTATAAATCTATGATTACTCGTCTTTCTTCACCGAAGTTTTTCTTAAGCGCCTTTTTTGGTAAATTTTTTTACGCGTCTTTTTCTCGCCGTCGAAACACTATCGCGCCTTTATTCGTGTCTAGTTACGATATGTTCCTAAAAGTGCTTTGGACTGCTCTAGACCTGGTAGATTATCCCAGTTGCGATTTATGTCCCAGAAACAATGTTGATGGACATCGCAGTCCTTTTGCCAAATTCGACTACTTTCTTATACCCTATGTGTTCCACTGCCTCCGCATTCGTTCCTTCAATTCTTGATCATTCGTAAGAGCCGTACAGTGTTCTGTTAATATACCAATCAGTGTCCTAGCGTCCTAGTACAGGAGAAAGAGATAGCGATTAGTCCCAGACACAGCCCAGAATCTTTTAGCATCATGTATCCTGCGCCACAGAGGTGATTTCTACGCCCACTTCTCCACATTGAGCCGCCTCGACTGTTTGCTATGGAGAGTCACTCGCAACAAGATTAGGTCTAAACCAGTTCAGAATCCTTTGTTTTCTAGTGAAGAGTATGTACGATTTACATACATATATGGGCAAATCTCAAGAATTGTTACATGTACATCGAAAATGGTGGCACACCTATTTTAGAAAATGCATTTTTTTTCAGTTTTGTATAAAGAACAAGATTCCATCGCGAAATTGTATTTAAATAAAATCTAAAAAAGATATACTAGATATACAGTATTCCTTATGCACATACATTCTTCATATTCTTTCTTCATGTATATGAAAATTTTAGAATGAATTTCGAGTGTGCCAAATAAAAATTGTAAAAATGGAATTTTAGTTTCTCAAATCATAGTTATCTTTTACTCAATGTATTTTTGTTTTTTTTTCATTTGGTGACACATATAATAACCGACTTCACTAAAAGGAGAAAGGTTATCAATTCGTCGGAATATTTTTTAACCGACTTTACAAAAAGAGAAGGTTATCAATTCGAAAGATTTTTTTATTATATTTTTTTATGTATGTATGTTACCGCATAACTTTGGATCACGTTAACCGATTTCTATAATTTTTTTTAGAGGAAAGGTGTTGGCTCACAAGTGCTCCCATATTAATTTGGTTTAAATCCGATCATTGGATCATGAAGAAATTAACGATATTCTTAAATTTTTATATAAGAGTTGAAGTCGGTTTTTTGTTTTTTTTTTCCTAAAAATCACATGTTTTATTTCACTAGATTCATTCTTTTGGCAAAGAGAAACTTTTCACCGTTTAATTTTAACATTTTGAAGTATCTTCAATTGTTAAAATTAAAAAAAAAAACTAATCGCAAAAATTTCAAAAATTACAAAATAGCTGCGACAGATATTCTGCGTGCAGCCATTTATTTTTAATTTGGAGGCACAATTTTGAAACTTCACAAATGTGTTTTATTTGATGCCAACATCCACTGCCTTTAATATGAACATTCAATTTGAAAACTTTCCAAAGTTATAAAAAAAATAATTATGATTTTTTGCGAGTGAAAATGAAAAAAATGAGTAATTTCGGTACTTTTTTGCCTAAATAAACGCTTTAAGGCTAAAATTGTTCAAATACTCCGTTGATTAAAATAAATGCAAGAAGAATGCTTTAACGTTTTTTCTGCCGAGAGAACACTAAAAAAACAACCCGTGAGATTTGTTCTGCTAATGCTAAGCCCTACTTTGGTTGTTGTCCGTAGGTGTATGTCTCGCAGTGTTTGGCTCCTGAGTGAGCTGAGTGTGGAGGGACACTTCCCGCTTGCTATCAGGAGACGCTAGATATTCGGAAAAGAACATATACGTGCCCCAAGCCTAAGTTTCTGTGGTTCTGACGAGCCACTAACATCTACATATCTAGATCCAGACATTTTTGAATAACTAAAACAACTGGGCTAGACTAAATTCATTGTTACGACGTATGGCCGAGAAAACAAAAGAAGACTTTCCTGAAACTCGTTCTATATCAGATGATCTATTCATCTGAAATACTGAAATAGTTAGTTACAAACTGTCAATCAAAGTACGGATGCCCAATAATTCCGAGAAATTTGATTGCGACTCTGAGACCATTATTGTCCTTGCAATGTATTATAAGCTTCATACTACATGCACACTACTTTTCACAATTATTGAACGAACGCAACTCCCTTGAATATTGAAATGTACTCACAATTTTCGTATGACAATTGAACAGCTCCAATGTGTTGTTCAAGTCATTACACATACGTAGACTGCTACAGACCGCCTCTGAAGCCTCGACAATTTCACGACGCTCCAACACTGAATCGCTATCAATTTGTTTGCGTTCCTCGCTCGCTTCGAGCAGGCAACTTTTGTATTTTCGACCGTAGGCCTCGCCGATGGCACTCGAATACGCTATGTAATCGGTGAAACAGGCGACAGACACCTGTGGATTCAGCGCCGTAATTCGCGAGGTGAATAGTAAACGTACCAAACCCTTTTGGGATGGCAGTGCTGCGTTGGGTGGCAGTTGTGACTGCGCCAATTGCAGGCCGACGGCCAAGAGCAGCAGTGCAACTGTTAGTTGGTACATGTTGACTCCTTAGCAGCTTGCTTTTACGCAGGTTTACTATTCGTTCGGTATTAGTTGACTCCAATTCGATTGTGTAAAGCTCCAAATTTAGGGGCTAAAGAAAACTTTTAAAATTTTAATGCTATCGCTTCTGCGACGAGTTGCGTCTCGTCGTTGCCGAATTTCGCAAAACTATGTGCGCCGATAAGTTGGTTGATGATATTTTATATTAGTGTCTGAAATATTTTGCATTTTGTCTACTCTTATCTGGTATATTATCTGGGCCACAATGAGTTGGTCAATAAACGGCAGCAACATCAAATTCCACACCCGTAACAGCAACGAATAGACGGACGGACGCATGTTCTTCTTTGCGACTTGATTGCTTTATCTGGCGCGTCGCTCAATGATCAAAACACTACGAGGGTGGGGTGAGGGAAAAAGTGGTTCGTGAAAAAAGTGCTATCCTCTTTGGGGAAACATCTTTTTTTTTTGCTAAAACTTCTAGCCAAAGATGTTTAAAATACTTGTAAAATAATATTTAAATACAAACTCCAAATACTTTAGATTCGATTTCGATAGTAACTTCACTGAACCTTCGTACATGGACCTAAAAATCGTAAACCCACCCTCGTATATTTATGTATTTACATTAGTGTGCCTCACAAAAAAATGCAGGTTTTCTATCGAAATTATAAAACTTATTATATTTTAAGAAATCGCCAAAATACTGCGGAAAATATTAAAATTTATCTAAGCTAGACCGATTTAAAAATACCTCCTAAAATCTCATTATTATGATGAAATTTTTCAAAATATTTATGCAGACCTTTTAAGCTTAAACTCTTTTATCATCTGAGTTGATTTTTGAAAAAATATTTTTAAAAACGAATTTTATTAAAAAAAAACTCGATATTTGGAGATATTTTCAAATCGCTCCAGATCACGCTTGTTTGCGTTCTTCAGATTTCTTTTTCATTTTGTACTATGTTGCGGTTTTTTGCAGATCATCAAAATCCTGGCATTCTAACGTTATTAGCACAGCACGCGCACACTAACTTCACAAACGTGCGTAATTATTTTTCAATATTTACATCAGTGCCACTGATAACAAGGTGCAATGGGGGTAATTGTTGGTCATCGTTAGCGCTCATAATTAGATGAATCACTGCAAAATTAAAGATAAAATTGCAATCTTTAGCGGAATGTCGCTAACTGCTTAAGCGAGAGAATAGATATTTAACAGTCAATGTCAAATGTTAGTGTACACATTGTTTTAATAAAATATGCACAGTTTTTTTAATAATTGTTTTTTTATTAATTATTTATGAAAATATAGTGCATTCTATAACATAACCCATGTAAATCAATGTTTCACACTTTATATTAAGTTTGGAAAAATTCAAAAAATTTCTAAATTTTTATTAAGAATTTCTAGAAAATTTTCGAGTATGCAGCAAAACTGTCGTTAAATTTTAGTAAAACTAAGTGCACTTTTGAAGTCGCTAAAAGTTATCGTTGATTTTTTAGAAATTACCGTCCATTTTTTATATGGAAGAAAATGCGCAACACCCTCCACAAAAAAAGAAAATCTAAAGAATTAACGTTATTTTTTACCGACTTGAACCTTGCACCTTGTTTTACTAAAATTGAAGAAAACTGCATACTCCAAAGTATACTAGAAATTCTGAATAAAAATTTTGAAATTTTAAGAAAATTTTTTGAATCTCTGTGAACTAAAATTGAACGGGCTACAAAACTGCATACTCGAAAATTTTCTAGAAATTCTGGATAAAAATTTTGAAGTTTTTATGAAAACTTTTGAAATTTATATGAAAACTTTTGGAATTGTTGTGAACTTTATATAAAGTGTGAAAGTTTGGCCTATATTATAGAATGAACTATATTTTCATAAGAAACACAGTTTTACAAATAAAAGTGTATGCATACTAAACCAAACCTATAAATATATCCCTATGTAATGCGACATGCTGAATGCGAATCCGATGTCCGTCGTGGTCATTTGAAGGTTAAGCAGGGAAAAATTCATTGAATAAACCTGAAAATTCAATAAAATTCTTCTGAATTTGACCTTGGGATGACCTTGGTATGACTTCTAGATGACTTTGAGAATCAAGGGACCCCCATAATCGGATTCAGCGACAACAAAAACAAAAAATTTATTTTTTATTTTTATTGAATAATTTTTTAGTTCTATTTTTTTTTGTCCTATTTGACCCTCAAACGACCTCGACATTAAGGAGGTTAACGGACCTCGGACTCGAATTCATCGTGTCGAATAACATAGGGATGTATAGGTTTGGTTTGATATGCATAAACTTTTTTTTTGTAAACCTGTGTAATTAATTAAAAAAAATTTCATGAAAATAATTGTGAATATTATACTAAAACAAGGTGTACACTAACATTTGACACTGACTATACATACATAACTACATACACTGTCGACAAAAAGTATTGCCACAGTTGCTTTTTTTACAATATATGCAAAAAAATTGTATTGTAATATTTTCCCGACAACTTTTTCCAAAAATATGGTTCATTCCGCAACAAAAAACATAAAAATATAATTTCTAAACTTTGTGCGAAATTTGCGAAAATTCAGCAAATTTTCTACTTTTTTGATTTTTGGCAATTTTTTTTCACGCAGTCTTCCATAAAAAAAAATTTCGAAAATACTTTATATGGAAAAAATGCAAACACCTTTAACAAAAAAAAAATTCTTAAAAATCAATACGATTTTGGACTAGCTCCGTACTTGCATTTTTTATACCAAAATTTAATGGGCTACAAAACTGCATGCTCAAGAAAATTCGAAAAAATCTGATTAAAGAGTTGAAAATTTGCATGAAAATTTACAAAGTTTAGAAACTATATTTTTGTGTTTTTGAATGAACCATATTTTTGTAAAAAATTGTCGGGAAAATATTACAATAAAATTTGTGCAAGTTTAGAAATTATATTTTTGTGTTTTTGGTTGCAGAATGAACCATATTTTTATAAAACATTAGCTGAAAAATATTAAATTAGAAATTGGTGCATATATTGTGCAAAATACGCTGTGCCAATACTTTTTTCCGGCAATGTATGTTTGTTTTGAGTTATTTGGCTTCCATGACTCACAAAAGTAAATAAGTGAATTGAATATCTCAACAGATGTTTTATGAGAGAGTGTTAAAAGTTTTTAATCCTAGATATAGGTAATTTCAGGACAAAATTAGGAAACCCCTTTCATAACTGTTTGACTTAAATATGCACACTAAATTATAAGCTAAGTCTATATTATGTATCAAAATTAGTAAATACTCGTGTTAATGGTATAGTATATACATATGTATGTATGTATGTACATTGTATAGTACATGAATACACATTTGTATTTAGACAAAAAAACATACATTGCTAAAAACCGACGTCAGACCAAAGTTTTTTGCGGCATCAAGAACAACGCAGACTGCAGTGAAAACAGATTTTATATAATAATGACTTTGGCAAAAATGTTAAGCCAACAATGTTATCTCCCAATATGTGTATAGTAAAAAGTTGCAAATGTTTACAGAGCCAAAATAAATATTTTTTATCTACACATTTTTATTAGGAAGTCATCTTAATTTTAATAATTCAACTATTTTCGTATATACAGGAAATGTCTTGCGAAAATGCGATTAATTCGGGATGACTCATAGATCATTTGTAAATAAATATGCCGCAAAACCACTTTTGATCTCTTAACATGGAACGAACTATTCCATTACATTCGAGGCGTGTCCTATGAAGAGACTTTTTGTTCCCCTTATACCCGAATTGGTATGAAAGGTGAACAGTCGTTTTTTTTAAATAACGCTTTTGCTAAGTGTTTGGCCGAGCTTCACCTCCAATTTACGGTGTGCGTCTTGACGTCGTTACACAAACGGAGGGCTCATTGCATGGTTCCTTTAAAACGAAAAAAAATGGAAGAAAAGGCAGATAAAAAAAACTTCACCAAAATTAATTTTTTTTTTGAGTTTTTAGAAAAATTTTGAGTATGCAGTTTTATAGATCATTAAATTTCAAATGGGAAGTAAAAGCGTTCCCCAATCTCGTATAATTTATATTCTTATTATATATATGGGCGTTTTCAGCGGAAAGTCTACCGCTAAAAAAAACACATATCAAATTTATTTATGGGCCAATTTGGCTTCTGTTTATAACATATACTGGTTATTCAAGCGGAACCATTTTTGCGAAAAATGAGTTTTGCAATTTTGTATTCCAAGTAAAAATTCACTTCTGTTTTTGTAACGTCACGCCAGCGCATATGTTTACTAATATCTCTAAATCTCTTCGACAAAAAGTTGTAATTTTTTTTACTGAATAAAGAGTAATTTAATTACTATGTAATAGTAAAACCCTTCTTTAAAATTGTGACTTTGTAATAGTTTTCTTTTTACATTTTAGCATACAAATATTATTAAAAATCAACGCACACTCTTAGCCGCTTGCAGCTTGCAATTTATTGTACTAAAATTCAATGATCCATAAAGTTGCATACCCAAAATTTTTCTAAAGACCAAGAAAAAATTAATCTTGGTGAAAAGTTTTACATAACATTTTTCATGTGAAATTTTTTTTCATTTTGAGGAAAACCTACAATTGTTCTTAACTAGTTTTTATTATGTAACATTTATTAACTGGAGCAGGAAAATAAAAGTTCTTCAAAACTTGCAGTTTCTCTGCATTTTGCATTAAAACATTTAAAGCAAACAAATAAGAATTCAAAAATCGGGCTCGACAGATCTCTTCTAAATCTCATCAACTATCATTAAAAAAAATATATAAATCAAATCGGATGAAAATTACGTACTGTTTTTTTTTTCTAAAAGTTCATTGCATGCATTAAGTCGAAAACAAAAAAAGTTAAAAAAATTTACTTATAAGGGTAGGTTTTGAAGTGAAGGTATATTTTCATTCAATTGGACCTTTGAAATGACCTGCAAAAGTAAATTTTTAATTTTTTTTGTATTTTTTAACAGCTTGAAATTAACTTTTTTTTAAGAATATTAAATGCGGTTTTTGGTTCTTGCGACCATGGAAAGGGGTTCCTTGATATAATAACAGCAAAAATAAGTGTTTGCAAATTGTAAAAAGTTCATTGCATACTGGTTTCAGGTCAAAAAAAGAAAAAAAATTAAAGCCTTATATTTTTGG